TTTAGGGTTTAGGCCTTGGATTAAGGGGAAGGCATTACTACAGAGGCTCTAGGGTTTAGGGTTTAGGGTTTAGGGTTTAGGGTTTGAATTCAGGAGGAGGCATCTTTAGAGACTCTGATTTTTTTTAGGGTTTAGGGTTTAGGGTTTAGGCCTTGGATTAAGGGGAAGGCATTACTACAGAGGCTCTAGGGTTTAGGATTTAGGGTTTAGGGTTTAGGGTTTAGGGTTTAGGGTTTGAATTCAGGAGGAGGCATCTTTAGAGACTCCGATTTACTTTGCAATTAAAGCAGGAAACTTTGAAGCAGTGCGCTGTTTGCTGGCGTATGGCGGCTGCTCGTTGCTGCAGCACCAGGTAAACCCTAAACCCTAAACCCTAAACCCTAAACCCTAATTCTAGTTCTAGACTTTAAACCCTATTCCTATACCTTAAGCCCTGTCTACGTAAAACCTAAACCCTAAACCCCAATTCTAAAACCGCAAACAACACCACAATCGGCTCTCGCTTTAGGTCTCTCAGTAACCAACGGTTTAGGGTTTAGGGTTTAGGGTTTAGGGTTTAGGGTTTAGGGTTTAGGGTTTGAGTTCAGAACCGGCATCATATGACCCCCTTCCTTGTTGCTGCTGGCGAATTTGCTGAGGAGAAAATTGGCGATGCTCTGCGCATATTGGAGCTCCTCTACCTGCATGTACACCCCAAACCCTAAACCCTAAACCCTAAACCCTAAACCCTAAGCATGAGACTGAAGAGCTCAACTCTCAGCCCCGCTACACACGAAAGAAACGTTTGATGAAAGGCCCAGTGGGTAGTGCTTCATTCTCGATGGTCTAGGATTTAGGGTTTAGGGTTTAGGGTTTAGGGATCAGGGGCTAGGGTTTAGGGTTTAGGGTTTAGGGTTTAGGGTTTGGCGCAGGGGGTGTCTCTAGAGGAGCAAGATGAGACAGGACAAACGGCTTTGCTGTGGGCGGCTAGAAGGGGCTCTCTTCCAATTATTCAGTGGTTGTTGTCGAAGGTAAACCCTAAACCCTAAACCCTAAACCCTAAACCCTAAACCCTAAACCCTAATGTACATAGTTCTGTTGAGAATATGGTATTTCCTATTTATGTATGTAAATAGTTTTTCTTCCCGCCCTTCTCCTTGCACTCGATCTTCTCACAATTTAGGGTTTAGGGTTTAGGGTTTAGGGTTTAGGGTTTAGGGTTTAGGGTTTATGTTGTTGATCAGGGAGCGAATCTAAACCACCGGGATTGCAAAGGCAACACTGCACTGCATGCATGCTGTAGGGGTATTGGGGCTGAAGACTGCATGCTGCTGCTATTGAAGACTGGAGGCGTTTGTTTATTAGATATAAATAATAATAATAATAATAATACTATTATGAATGCTAATAGCAGAGCAGCAAGAGACGCAAATGTTTTATCTTTGTGCTTGTCGAGGCGACTTTATCTTCTCTCTTTCTTGCTTTTTGCTGCTTCTCTTCATTATAAATTATTTAATAAAACTTTTGTGTTCAAGTCGCCGTATGTTGTTCTTTACTGGTTGTTCTCTACTGCTACATTTGCTGTACAAGTAGTAATGGCTTTATTCCTTTTAACCAACAGCAGCAGCAGCAGCAGCAGCAGCAGCAGCAGCAGCAGCAGCAGCAGCAGCGAGCTGCTGCATGCACTGCTCGCTTTGGGGCTGTGGGGTGTTACCCAAGGCCTCTGGCTCGCCACATTTAAAGCCGATCCCGGGATCGTCTCCTCCAGCCTCAACAGAATCAAAAGCCAATTCGCCTCCGTACACCCGTCAGCTATCTTGCTGCTGCTGCTGCTGCTGCTGCTGCTGCTCGTGCTGCTGCCGTTACTGCTGCTGCTCGTGCTGCTATTGTTGCTGCTGCTGCTGTTGCTCCTGCTGCTCGTGCTGCTATTGTTGCTGCTCGTGCTGCTACTGCGCGTGCTGCTGTTGCTGCTCGTGCTGCTGCTGCTGCGCGTGCTGCTGCTGCTGCTCGTGCTGTTGCGGCTGCTGCTGATGGTGTTGCTGCTGCTGCTGCTGCTGCTGCTTTTAGGAAGTTTACTCGCGAGGTTTTGGAGAGCCTTCGGTGGCCGTTGGGCCCCTCTTACGGCCCTTATCATTCTCAGCTCGAACAGATAGACAGGTAGGGTTTAGGGTTTAGGGTTTAGGGTTTAGGGTTTAGGGTTTAGGGTTTAGGGTGTAGGGTTTAGGGTTTAGGGTTATAAATGATTTTGTGGGTATTGGCCATCCAATTGCGAAGAGCCTTCGTGATGAGTTTGTTTGGAAGTACCTAGGGTTTAGGGTTTAGGGTTTAGGGTTTAGGGTTTAGGGTTTAGGGTTTAGGGTTTATTTGTGTATCAGGCGAAAGCTGCTGGTGAATTTGGAGTTATTTGAATTGTCGGCTTCATCGTCTGCAGCAGCAGCAGAAGATGAATGTAGAGGATCCGAAGCAGCAGCAGCAGCAGGAGCAGCAGCAGCAGCAGCACGAGAGACTTTGTCGCAGCTCCGAGCAGCAGCATGCGAGCTTCAAGAAGCAGTAGCAGCCGAAAGGCAAAGGAGATTAAGCGAGGTGTATATACAGTCTATCTTCTTTGGTTCTGCAGCAGAAATTAAACAAATCTGCGTCACATGCACTCTCATCAAACCGCCGCGTGTCCACCACTGCGCTGAATGCTCACATTGCCTCCTGTAAGAAATATACTCCTGCTCCTGCTGCTGCTGCTGCTGATGCTGTTGGTGTTAGTGGTAGTGCTGCTGCTGCTGTTGGTGTTGGTGCTGCTGCTGCTGTTGCTGTTAGTGTTGCTGCTGCTGTTGGTGTTGCTGCTGCTGCTGCTGTTGGTGTTAGTGCGGGTGGTGTTGGTGCTGCTGTTGCTGCTGTTGGTGCTGCTGCTGCTGTTGCTGCTGCTGCTGCTGCTGCTGGTGTTGGTGCTGTTGCTGTGGTTGTTCCTCTTGCTGCTGTTAGAGCTGTTGCTGTTGATATTGCTGCTGCTGCTGCTGCTTTTTCTGCTGCTATTGCTGCTGTTGCTGCTACTGTTGGCGCTACTCCTCCTCCTCCTCCTCCTCCTCCTCCTCCTCCTACTCCTACTACTACTACTACTACTACTGCTGTTGCTGCTGCTGCTGCTGCTGCTGTGTCTGTACAGCCGACAAGACCACCACTGCATGTGGGTGGACAACTGCATAGCTCAGGGTAACATGCGGCAGTTCGTTGCTTTTCTTTGTTTTTTATCCTTCTCAATTCTCTCATCCTTTGTACTCACATTCGTTTTTGCTGCCAAAGCAATCGCCATTCCATCGCAATGGGTACGTACTAGGGTTTAGGGTTTAGGGTTTAGGGTTTAGGGTTTAGGGTTTAGGGTTTCTGAGCGGCTCGCTCGAGGGTTTAGGGTTTTTTAATATCTCGATGATGTTTTTCCTAGGTCTTACTGTCTAAGGTTTGCTCGCTACTACTTTAATTGTTTAGGGTTTAGGGTTTAGGGTTTAGGGTTTAGGGTTTGCGTGCAGTTGTGGCTACTGTTGAGTTTGCTGCTCGCCTTTACTAATTTAGCTTGGCTTCTTTTTTCGGTTTATTTGCTGCTGCGAACTTCTCGTACAATTTTATCTAACGTCACTTACTTTGAGTTTCTTAAAAAGTAAACCCTAAACCCTAAACCCTAAACCCTAGCTCGAAACCCTAAACCCTAGCTCGAAACCCTAAACCCTAGCTCGAAACCCTAAACGCTAAACCCTAGGCTTGAAGGCTTGGTGAAGCCTACACTTACATCTACCGCTTCTTTAGTGGTTTACATGTCAAGCAGCGGGCTCCTAATAGCCTTCTAGGGTTTAGGGTTTAGGGTTTAGGGTTTAGGGTTTGTGGTTTTCAGGCCCCCGCATATTGTGCGGCGATTCAAAGGGAGGACAAATGGATGGCTGTGGGAGTTCTGGGGTTCTTCACCCCTTGCTATTTTGAAGTAAATCTCTCTTCTTTTATTTTCTTTTTGTTCTAGGGTTTAGGGTTTAGGGTTTAGGGTTTAGGGTTGTGTCTTTGTTTTGTCCCATTATCTCTGTTCTAGGGTTTAGGGTTTAGGGTTTAGGGTTTATTCGTCTTGCTGTTTTATTTTAGTGTTTTGTTCAAAGCGACGATATCTCTGCTGCTAACCCACAGCAGCAGCAGCAGCAGCAGCACCAGCAGCAACAGCAGCAGCAACTGCAGCTCTCAAGTGTGTATTTGTGTCTAGATGCTTCTTCAACGTCGCAGTTTAGGGTTTAGGGTTTAGGGTTTAGGGTTTAGGGTTTAGGGTTTAGGGTTTGCGTTCAGGAACGTAATATGGTTCTGGCAGAACTCCCCACAGCTGGATGAGGTGTACATACACCCGAATGACGGAGTGTCTACGACTTGCTCACTTCCTTCTCAATATGCAGAGGCAAGTCTAGGGTTTAGGGTTTAGGGTTTAGGGTTTAGGGTTTACGAGAAGTAACGATTGAGGCGGTTGTTATGAGGGTTGGTAGTTTAGGGTTTAGGGTTTATTGCAGTGGCATGTGCTGTGGGCTGTAATTAGGGTTTAGGGTTTTTGTTTTTTTGTTTAGGGTTTTATTATTGTTTAGTTTAAAGATATGCTGCGCAAGCACCTCTGGCTGTCCTTAGGGTTTAGGGTTTAGAAATTAGGGTTTAGGGTTTAGGGTTTAGGGTTTAGGGTTTGTGTTTGCTGTAGGCGGGGGACCCTAAGCTGTCTTCTAGATCTTATATATCTTTATTAGGTGCACCAAGCGCTGAAAGACTTCTAACAGATTTAAACTCTTCACCTCTGTTTGCTGCGGAAGCCCCCTATCTGCTGCATGCAGCAGATGCTGCTCGGGCATACGCAACGACTTCCTAGTTTAATTAATTAATTAATTAATTAATTAATTAAATTAATTTGTTTATTTAGTTGAATTTAATTAATTAATTAATTAATTAATTAATTTATAGGGGGATAAACACACACCTTATCTCCACACACACAATGCATATATATATATATATATATA